ACGTTTAGCTTTGAGGGTTTAGAGTTTGTTAGTAGTCAAAATATTTTTGAGAAATTTCAAAAAATACCACTTTTCAAGTACCACTTTACAAAAATGCCACATTTTTGAAATCTTTACAAAAATGCCATTTTTTCAAAATTATTTTCTTTATATTATTTATGTTTGGGTTAATTATGTTCTATTAGGGTTTAGTTTTGAGTGTTTAGGGGGTTTTAGGTGTCAAAACATTTTTTAGGATTTAGAATTTTAAGATATAATCTTTATAAGTCTATAATTAGTAGCATTTTTGTAAATGGACACCCCTAAATGGCATTCTTGCAACAGTGCACACAAAAAGTGGTATTTTTATAATTGTCCCAATATTTTTTAGGGTTTAAAATTTTAAGATTTAGACTTTAAAAATCCATAATTAGTGGCATTTTCGCAAATGGACAATCATTTACGGCATTTTTGAAAAGTGAATACAAAAAATGGTATTTTTGCAACTGTCTCTAATAATTAATTATTTATAACATGTGAAAAAATAATTAAAGATAAAAAAAATATTAGATTACGCGTAAAAAAAATGGGGCAATTACAAAAATGCCATTTTTTGTGTGCACATTTGGAAGAATACCACTTAGGGGTATCCATTTACAAAAATGTCACTAATTATAGATTTATAAAGCTTATATCTTAAAATTCTAAACCCTAAAAAATGTTTTGACACCTAAAACCTCCTAAACACTCAAAACTAAATCCTAATAGAACATAATTAACCCAAACATAAATAATATAAAGAAAAAATAATTTTAAAAAAGTGACATTTTTGTAAAGATTTCAAAAGTGTGGCATTTTTGTAAAGTGGCATTTGAAAAGTGGTATTTTTTAAAATTTCTCAAAAAAAATTGAGAACTTTAAAGCGAAACCAATGTTTGTTTTGAAATAGTTAAATTTTAATCATAATAAATAAACATATTTTGCCACCATTAATTAAAAATTACAAAAATATAATATTATATCATAGATTAGATATTTTGTTGCTCTCTTCATATTTTAAATTTATTCTTTTTTTTTTTTAAGAACAGAACTTGTTACTATAGAATGTTGGAGAAAGTTTAAAAAAGTACTAGATTTTTTGAATAT